AAAAAGAGAGAGAGAGAGAGATAGAGAGAGAGAGAGAGAGAGAGAGAGAGAGAGAGAGAGAGAGAGAGAGAGAGAGAGACATAGGTAGGTGGATAGATAGATAGACAGACAGACAGACAGACAGACAGACAGACAGACAGACAGACAGTACGTGGATGGATGGATAGAGAGGCAGAGAAATAGAAAATTAATATGAGGTGAAGGAGATACTTGTGCAAGAAATAACATTTCTTTTTTTCCCCTCTGGATATGCAAACCGTATCCTGATTTTTAAAAAATTGCTCTGCAGCCCTTTTGATTGAAAAACCAGGGTGAAATCTTCAAATAAAGGCCTTTTATAAAATGGCATAATTGGGAAAAAAAATGGGATTATAACTACAAGCCTTACTTTTCATTAACAGCTAACTGGGAAAGCCCTTGCTTTGGCTATACATTTTACTGTGCTAAAATGCATACAACGGTAAATGTAGGCGTGGGCCTAACGTTACAGTCCAGCATTAGTAATTTAAATATATCACAGATACCCAATGCCCCGTCGTATTATTTCATACGGTTGCCGTATAAATAGTATAAACTTATGTAGGATAAACGTACTGTATTTGGTGGGGGGGGTGGTGGTGGTGGTATATTTCCTTTTAGGAGATTTTTAATTGCTAGCAGAGAATGCTTTTTTGCATTGCCAAATTATGGTGTTGCGTGAAGCAACAGACTCTAATCGTGTAACATATTTTGGTTACCTAATTAGGCAGGACAACATGCTAATGATGGTGGGCTTAATCTTGACAAGAGTGAAGTGGGTGATATACCTTTGTTTACTTGTTCTAAAGTCTAATATGAAAGCCTGAAATGCCTTAATTTGGTGAAATAGTAACGGCAGCATTAGTGCCTAGGCTGTGGCCCCACCCTCAGCATTTTATTATAACAGTATGAAGTATTTTATTTCTATCAGATGCCTAACAATAACCTTTTTAATATGCTGGGCCATCTAATGCTTGCTTACATTTTCATCCCATTAAAATAAGAGAGGCAAAAGAAGCACAGGTCGTCCCGAACCTACGGCCGCAAATTGAGCCTGAATTTTTTTCCCGTCGCTAAGCGAGACATTTGTTAAGTGAGTTTTGCCCCCTTTTGCGACGTTCCCTGCCACTGTTCTTAAGTGAATCAGCTGCAGTTGTTGTCAGCAACACGGTTGTTAAGTGAATCTGGATTTCCCCGTTGATTTTGTTCATCGGAAGGTCGCAAAAGCGAATCGCATGAACCCGGGACATTAAAACCGTCATAAATACGAGTCGGTTGCGAAGGTTCGATCGTGTGATCCTGGGGAATGCTGCAACAGTTGTCCTTGTGAAAAATCAACCGTAAGACACTTTTTCCCCCAGTGCTGTGGTCACTTTGAACGGTCACCAAATGAACGGTTGTAAATTGAGGACTAACCTCTGTGTGTAGGATTGCAAAATACAAAATTTCGACTTATTTGCCCTGTTCATAGAATTACGTTGTATATCTGTTCAATTAACATCAACCAAAGGAATCACATGTTGGAATTATTTCAGCTAGAATGATCACAATACTCAAGAGATATTTCTTAAAAACGGGCATTTCTTACATTGTAACTTTAGGCATTAAAAATAAACGGAGAATAACCACGATTATCACCACTTAGTGGGGGCTTAGCCACGACAACTGTCATACTAAATGCACTGTAAATTGTATTGTGTTGCACCGGATTACAAGAAACAGAGAGAGAGAGAGAGGGAGGGAGAGGGAGAGAGAGAGATACACAGGTAGTCCTCGACTTACGACCCCAATTGAGCCCAAACTTTTGTTGTTATGTGAGACATTTGTATATAAAATGTAAAAATATATGCATTAGAGGTATTCCTTGACGTATAACCACATTTGAGCCTCAACATTTCTGTTGTTAAGCGAGGCAGTTGTTAAGGGAGTTTTGCCCCCATTTTACGACCTTTCTTGCCTCAGTTGTTAAGTGAATCACTGCAGGGGATAAGTTAGTAACCCGGTTGCTAAGCGAATCTGCCTCCCCCGTTGACTTTGCTCGTCAGAAGGTGACAAAACGGGATCACGTGACCCAGGGATACGGCAACGGTCACAAACGTGAACCAGTGG